GGCGATGTTGGTGGATCCTACAGGTTCTATTAAATGTGTCTTTTTTGGAGAATGGGTCAAGTGTATTGAGGAAGGGGAAACATATACTTTTACCAACTTAAGAGTACGCACAGACTATTTGAGTCAGGAGAAGTTTGTGAATACTGCCAAAACTGGTTGTAAAATAGAAACAAGAAAAGCATTCGATGAGCCATTAGCACCTGCTGCTCCATTGGTTGCTGACATTGCAACAAAAGAAGCAATTTTTTCTGTGGTGGGCATAAAAGGAATCAGCAAATACTATTCATGCAGTAGCTGTTCGAAGAAGCTGGAAGAGCAGGGTACAAAGTTGTATTGTCGATCCTGTAACATGAAGCAAAAACCAACAAATGTTCAGTGGGTTTCGAGACTGCGGGTACAAGATTCAACTTCCGAGCAATTGAACATCACAGTGTTTCACCCACAGATGGTAAAGTTATTTGAAAGTCAAGGAAAATCTCTGCTGCCTTCACTAACGGAGAGTGAAATAGAAGATATACTTCTTGATGTTGAAAACATTCATGCAAGCATGAAGCATCAACATCCAGCAAGGAAAACTTTTAGATATTCTGGAATGACTTTGATCTTGTGAACATATACTGTAAAACAGTTACATTATTTTTAAAGTGGATATTCTATTTTGGGATTTGTTATGGTTACTTGGTTTGTTTAGAAGAGGAAAACATAAAACTTTGATGTTATAAACTCTTACATTTTTATATTTTGATACTTGCTATGGACAGAATAATATAAGAACTGTATACAGTCTTAACTGTTTGTTATTTTGTTTGGTTAGAAGAAAAAACATTTAAAAATAGGATTCAATCTTAACTGTTTGTTATTTTGTTTGGTTAGAAGAAAAAACATTTAAAAATAGGATTCAAGTAATATAAAATACTTTTGATAATTTATACTTGTGACTTTATCAGTTCATTATATTGGTTTTTACTGTAAATCAATGGTGTTTTCTGCAATTGATTATTGGCTAAAAGTTCGTGCTGAAATATAATATAACATGGAAGGATACACAGTTTTAAGTCCCTGGTGGAAACAATAAATTAAATTTAATTATTTTTTCTACGAGGGGACTTAATTGCTTCATTCACAAACTAAGCAGTCTCTCCAGTTGACAATTATTGCTATTTCAGGTTTGCAGTTCATTATTTGGTAATAGGCACATTCTACTATTATTTTTTCTACGAGGGGACTTAATTTCTTCATTCACAAACTAAGCAGTCTCTCCAGTTGACAATTATTGCTATTTCAGGTTTGCAGTTCATTATTTGGTAATAGGCACATTCTACTGTGTCTTATCTGTTGCTGCCGTTGCACATTCTGAACATTCTTCATATCATTTGTGACCAATTCTTATGGTTTGACATCCAGAAATTTGTTGGCCTTCCTCTTGATCATTTACATTATTTTTTTTGAGGGTTGCAGGTCCAAGTTTGACAACATCTTGTATCTATCATGTTAATCATTCGAGAATAGTACAGGTTTCACCAGTAAGTTGTACAAGATGAATGAATTTTTCACTTTGAAGGACTTTCATGACATAGCTTTTGATTTGAATTATTTGATTGGTACCAGTTCTGGTAGAGTTTATATTAATATTTACTTCTCAGCATTATCCAATACTACAGTCTCACCAGTGTGTTGATATGCTCATTATAAGGTCTTCAATCATTACCACCATATCCAGTTGTATAAATTTAAAGCAATGTGGCATTATTTTGAGGTTAAGTTGCATCTACAAAGTGTAAAAAAAGCAATATTATTGTACAGTACAATAGTACATAACTGTCTTATAGTGTGTTTCCCACTTCAGCTGTATGTCAACGCGCCATAATTTCGCCCAAAACAAATATGCTATTTGTTATTACAATATGTTGAAATAAAATGTGGTGTAGTAAAATTGTTCAAAACTTACCTATATTCCATCGCCTGAACACGCCTGACAAATAATCAGTGCGAGCACAAAGGCCCCAAAATCACAACAGATAACAGAATACAAGGTAAATTAAAAACAGCAAAGCTTTACCTACCTTCTAAGGTCTTCTAAAAGGGCTCGATTGTGTAAAATATTCGGCCAAGAATCGACGAAAATGTGCATGAAGTTTGGTTTCACTTTCACATCACATGATCAGTTGTTCTTAATTATGCTATAATATGTTCGTAAATGTTCGTCGGAAAAGCTCGGTATTTGTCGCATTTTACGAATCTGCCACGTGACCGGCACGCTCACCGACCACCGAACACGACACGAAATTTAGAGCTATATGAAAGTTGCATGCCATATATGGCATGCAACAATAAAACTGGTATTAAATTGACCTTAAAAGTTCATTTTCGAGGAGGAGAAATTTGAAATTGTATTTGGTTTGGTATCGTCTATTATAGGGATTGTGGTTATATATAACTAAGCTTGCTACACTGCAAATAATAAATATGCTCAATATGATTCGCAACGGAAAATTTGACTTCGACCTGCTTTTAATCGCATGTTTATTTACCTAAATTATAATCACAAATCCACTATAAAATCAGTAAAGTTTGCTCAATCCTATAGCTTAAGTGTAGATAGGTTATATGTGTATTTGAGATAGCCATACTGCATGTACAACCAGTCGAGATATATTACATTATATTGAAGCAAATACGAGAGCTTAATTTAACCATAACCATAATTCATATATGCCCATTGTATCGTCTAAGGATTATGACTATATGTAATGTCTGAGTATAGGTGGGTTTCACTCAAGCCTATATTATATATAGGGAAACGCTTGGTGGTGAACTTTGACATATTGCTGCTTTATATGCCTTGTGTAAGCAAGTGAATTTCGTTATAAATTGCATATATTTGATACCAAACAAAGGATCAATACTTATATAGTTATAATGAGTGTTTAACTCGATTCGATTGTGCTTCCGTTTGTTTATACGTTTCAGATCAGCATTAAACTATATTTCTATAAAATAGTAAGTATAATTTGGGTTATTTTCAAGAATGTCTGAAGCTTTCTTTGAATAAACTTTCGAACATAAAACATGAACAAACCTGATCTCACGAACAGCACATGCAGTTTAAACTTCTAAATCAACCTATATATATACCGACTCACTGTCACAGTGTCACTGATGTTAACAAATAGGCTACAATCCACAGATCTTATCGATCGACGCAGAAACGTTATGGGTAATTTGTTTATCTAATCAGTAAATTGTATCAGTGTCAATTCTATAGATTGAAATATTTTCTATATGCCCATTCCATTTATCAGTCACATTTATTTCAAGGCATTGCTGGTCTTTTTTCCTTTATTTTGTCTTAATATGTTGTTGTTGTTGTTGTTTTCAAATTTAATTAAGAATTAAGAGATGAGCAAGTCTGATCTCACAAACTGCCACGTATATACTTCTAAATCAAAGTAGAGTACGTATAGCTGATGTTAGCTGCCTAATCCAGTAAAATACAGTATATAGCCAATATCTTTAAGTCTATATATATATATATATATATATATATATATATATATATATATATATATATATATATATATATATATATATATATATATATATATATATATTACATGACTATATAAGTAATTAATATCCGCACATTAAATTACTAGAAGTTACTATCGCAAGGGGGAAATGCTGCCATATGGCCATATAAATGTTGTTATCACTGATTGCATGCAAAATAAATATCAACATGCAGTATTATAAGCTCGTATATACAACTAGAGCTCATCAGCTCACAGTATAATTGTTAACGATTCAGATAATATTTGCAGCAGTACTTTTCGTGGCTTTGCTATACTTTATAAATTGCGTTAAATGCCATAGCACATTGTGATGTTCGCGAGTTTCAAACAGGTTATTTTGTCTAATCGCTCCTGTACTGCCGTAGATCGTTTGGAGTATGTAATTTTAATAAACCACAGACAAATCTGGACATGTACAGACCATAGCTAACCCAGACGGCACACTGTGCGATTTAAATTTAAATGCTTGTTATATTTCATTACCACCTGCCGCGGTATCAACTTCATGAATAATGAATAGCTCAAGAATATTCTGAATTTTTATCCTAAAATGTGCCCCTAAACAACGCTTATCGATGAAAGAAATAAACTTAAGTTTGCAAAAATAAATAGTTTGGACCTTTGGTAGAAATAATTAGGATAAAACGTTTTAGTGTAAAAATTCAGAACATTTTTGAGCTAATCATTATTATACTTGGTTGATACTGCAGGGGCTAATTAAATATACCTGCAAGGATTTAAATTTAATTGTGTCCTGGCTACCTATGGAGTACATAGCTCGGGAAAACGGACTAACTCGAGCAACAAAAAGCCAGCTAGCCAGAGAGATAAGGAATGTTAACTTACCTCGCTCTGCCGTCGGCAACAATTAAAATTCCCCAACCCAATACTGTACAGTACAATCTTGGGCAAAACCCTTGAGACCATTTACAAAGTTATTCAACATTGACAAAACAAACTTTGTCTCCCCCCAGTTTACAACATCGGTTGTAAACAACAACGAAACAACTTTTGGCAATATACCATAACACAAGCTCAACATTGAGTTAGGGGAGCGGGGGCTTATAAAAGGAAACATAATTCAATATGGAATTTATCATAAAAATATGGAATTTGTATAGCCTATAGAGGAAAAAATAGTCTCAACCAGTTCGTAGTCCATGCAAGATTGCAAGCATTGCATGTAGCTCAAACAAGTTAATAAATAAATAAATAAACTAACAGCTGGCTGATTAAGAGTCTGTTCATATGTGCCGGTCTGGTTTGCCAGGAACTACCTTAGTGGGATGAATATTTCTGCGTTTAAATATGACTGTTTTATCCCTGGCCATATATCCCATTTTAGTGCAGGATGACATTAGGGACGGACCATTAGAAAAGTGATGGGATTTTCTAAGAGGCAATATTTTTTTTGTACACCTATAGAAATTTTTGTTTTCTTTTTTGATGGTTGAAAATTTTTTAAAGGGGCCCTACAGTAATTTTTTAGTCAAGTAAGTATTGTTTACATTTTTTGTTATTGTCGCTACTTGACATGCCCACCACGGTATGCATGCGTTTTCGGGTGTGCAAAAGTACTCATACTCATGGATACTGCATGTAAAATCTGTGAATCTCCGTGGAGTCTCCTACTTAAGGTAGCTTTCGACTAAAAAATGACTGTAGGGTCCCTTTAAGTGAAATTTATAGGCCTATTAGTAGTGTAGTCCTGGAATGTTAACAAGGGGGCTCTCCAAAGTGCCCTGAATTGGCGGGAGGGGAGGGGAGGCACAGTAAGATATTTTGAAAATTCTAAATTTTGTTGGGGTTTATTCTAGTAATTTTGGGACAAACATTTGACGTTATTCTTATTAAAAACAAGCCGAAGCGAGGGCCGAAGGCCCAGGGAAATTTTTAAATTTAGAGTCTCTGAAATGCCATTTCCTGGACTTTGGGGAAGATTTGACAAAATTCTGATGGTCAGAAAACAGCGTTTTAGTATGTCAAAATTTACAATTTAGGTACTAAATGATATAAAGATTACAAAAATGCCGATATAAAGATTACAAAAATCATTATTGTGTTAAATACTGAGTGAAAATGAGATGCAATTCTAAAGAACATTCTCGTTTACTGATATTGTTATAAATTGTAAACCGTTGACACATGGGGTGACTGTAATTATAAGTTTGGTAGACGCATTATATTGTCCTTGTTGAACAGCTGGAATTTATTAGTTTTGTTTGGGTATAGGCAACATCTACAAGTCTTTTACTAATACTTTTTACTAGATTAAAATCAAACTGATGCAGTCTCATTTCATATGCGAATGAGGAAATTCATGACTTAGCATTATAGGAGTACGGGGGCTTCCTGACGTTGATCGAAATTATCCGGCGACTAATACAAACAAAATTCCGTCTAAAATCGAGACATCAGTTATGACATTTCCCAACGTCACATATATTTCTTGCTTTTGCGACCATTTCATACGAGGAGCCATGGATGACCTTTACAACGATGTAATACAAACATTCCGACAATGACCGCTCACTGCATGATTTATCTAATACAATCCACAAATATGATCTTATAAGTTGAATAGGTCTTGAAAGAGAAACGTTACGGGTAATTTGTTTGTCTAATTGTCCAATTACAGCAATACCGATGATTTTTGATTCTAGATGCTTCGTGTATATTGCAAAATATTTTATTGGCTCTATAATTAAACCGACTCTTTGCCGATTCCGCTTATCTCTTTTATTTCCAGGCAGCGTTAGTCCTTTTTCGTTTTCTCTTGGTATATTAGTACACTGCATCAAACACATCTTGTTTAGTTGCAACCGTCCCTTTGGCTTTGTAGCCCCTTCTTTATTGTTGTTTTATCTATACTACAGTCCTCTCGATATGTGATGTGCATGGACCTGTGTAGTTTTTCCAGTGTGTATATTTTGACCTATTGCTTTGTAACAAGATCGATTTTTTGCGATCATTTGGAGTGCATGTTCACAAGATTTCTAACCTCCGTATCAGCGAGCTATTCGAGCGTTCATATAAGGGGTGTGTCATTGCGTCACTGCATGGATTTATTATTCGATGTATTCGATCTCAGCTGTAATATAATAAAATCTTCAAAAGACTCTGGATCTTGATTTTGCATGGGATTTTCAAATCATGTATGTTTGTGATTTAAAGCGCATAGTTTATGCATATGAAGGTCTTTCAAATCCGGGAGGGTGTTTTGCGCATGAGGGGTGTGTATTGGCTTGGTAGAAAAACCCGGAAAACGGATATCATGCAGCTAAGAAGAATGGACTGATAAAACTAGTCTTAAATTACCCCCTTCGTTATTTTTGAGAAGGAGGAGAACTGACCTGGAAAATCAGGAATCGTGCGATATTGCAAAATTTTGAAATTATATTTGGTTTCGTATCGTCTAGGGACTGCATGTGGTTATATTGTATATAATTAAGCTTGCTTGTTACAGTGAACTGGGCTCGATATATGTTTTGCCGGCAACGCGAAATTTGACTTCGACCTTTTAACCGCATGTCAG